AAACTGGGATGTTTTTGTTTATTACCCTTGAGAAATTAACCTCAAATAAAAGATAACAGATTTCATTAAATCTATTGCAAGGAAAATTGCAATGTTATGAGAAGAGGGCGGGAAGTGTAGCCATGTGGAAAGGAACATAAAATGATACAGAAAATAAAACAGTTTCCATCCAACATAAAACAGTTTCCATCCAAATTCCTTTCAAATTCCAGGAAAGGATCTGGTTTCATGGGCGTTTTCATAGTTTTCGTCACATGTAACTTGAATACAAACCAGTTTCCTTTAGAATGTCCTCCATGAAGGCATCTTTCCTTAAGACCTTTAAAGAACTTCTTTCTTGGTACTCAGTAAAATTGTGGAGACTGCTAAAACTTTTATGACACCACATTATTTATTTTGAAGCATTTGCCTTTTCTTTAAAGAAAAATAATGAGGAATTATATTTTTATGATCATTCGACCCGAAAATGATGAAAATGATGCCTGCAGAGCATAGTATAGAAAGTGTGTTACACAGGTCTTTCTCAGAATATGTTTTATTAAGTAGAATTAATGTAATACAGCAAAACAACGCTTTTTTCCGTGCTCTAAAAAACACTGGTGTGTATTATCCTTCATACCAACGCCCTCATCCATCGAAATCCAGTGACAGAATTACTTATGATTCCGAACGCGAAAAGTAAGTCCTGAATTCACTTTTCGTGGGCATTACGGCCCTAGGGATAGCCATCAGAAACTTCTTAAAGCTGTCAGCTAGTGTCTTATATATTCTAGGTATAATCCACTTGGTTGTGGGTAGTGTTTTTATAATTAAGCACCAAATATGTAAGCCTAAAAGTTATAATCGGTAACCTTTAATCAACTTCAATGCTCGAAAAAAATCAAAATTATTAAAAATAACAAGAGTCCTCAGAGAGCTTTATTTTTTTTCGGGGGGGGGTTGAAATTTCAGCTTCATAGTTTTAAATTCTGTACATCTTTGCGAAGGGCATTCCTCTGAGTGGTATCTTTCTCGACATTTCTTGGCTATCTGAATCTTTTCGGAACTCTTGAGGTTATATACATAATTCAGGAAGGCCGACATACAAGTTATTCTGGAGGGTGATACAAAACTACATGGCAAAAATCTTGAGGGAACCGAAATAAGCAGATTTAGTAATGGAATCTTTGTACGGAAATGAAGCCTTTAGGGTCCACATGGCACAGCTGAGCTGGAGATGGAAGCTTTCTGCTAGCTGAAATCATCATTCCCCGTGCTGTGTTTTAAGCGCTGTGCATCGCTATAGAATGCGAAGCTCGTTTTATTAATGTGAGGGGCAGATCTTAATGGAGCAGTTGCTCAAAGGAGATACTCGGGTATCATTCTTTATACCTTCTCTGAGTATGTTCACCATTTTAGCCGCAGCCCCATGGATAGAATGCACTTCGGCAAGCTCCGGATTCTTATACGATGCACGTCGCTCGAACTTCTCACGGAGAATGAAGATTTACGCCAGGAGAATGCTTTCCCCTGCCACTCATCAGCGATCTGTGTCATTTCTAAACGCATTCCATTAAAAAGTCTGCTTATTCAGTCCCTTCTACAATTTTTCCAGATATTTTTTAACCTGCTGTATATCTTTATTAGTATTTTCGTTTCTGTTTTAGAAAATCGTAACTTTTCATAAATTAAAAAAACTATGACATAGCAGTATTCCTGTAAACAAAAAGTAAAATAAAATAAATTTAAAAAGTAGATAAATATTTTGATAAGTAAAGCTACAACAAATAAAACTGGCACACATGAAGGCAACTAGAAGAAATAACTTTTGCTGACACAGGGGAGACAAAACAAAGGCTCAGTTTGTTTTATCAACTAACAAAAATATCCATAAACATACTTAAATTCTTAAAACTTATTTAATCAGATAACATCCCCAAACAATAGTTTAGGTAAATTGCGTGTGACTGCATATGCATCTCCAGGAAGCGCATACAGGACTGACTGAGACGGGCTCGTGTCCTGTATTCTATGCGTACAGGTCACCTCTTAAAATAGGAATACTGGCCCCTAAAGGCAGTTTCACTGATGCGAAACACACGTAACTAAATGTATTTCTTATGATAGTATTTCTGAATGATTTTACATTATTATAATAAAATTTTCATTTTATTATACGACATATTTTGAGGGTATTATAGTACGCAAGAATTCTCCAAAATTATGTTAAAAATAGTAAAGCTTTGTTTATGAAATTAAACATGAAAACGACTTGAAAATATATTTACTTATACCTATTTTTAATCCATTCGTCTTGATTTCTTTGGAACCTCTAGCGATTTCTCACAGAACATCAAAGTGCCTGCCAAACCCCAGTTGAAAATATTGCTTTAAACTAATGGCTTAGAATTTCACAACGATAATGGATAAGATCACATCGAATCACAGTACTCTGTTAAATGTAAGAAATTGTAGATTGTATTTTAAAGATGAAATCACTGATCTTTGGACAAAAACTTTATGATCTAATTTTCAGTCGCAGAACTATAATGCATTCAAAGATTGTTTTTATTTTGTTATAGTAGAACAGCCGTCCATCCAAGTTTTCGCATTATCCAGCGTTTCTTAAACTTTTTACTCTTGCTGAACCTTTTCAATAATATTTATGTCTCAGGGTACACCTACGTAAAAAGTTAAGCTATTCACCATTATTTATTAGCCTACTCATCACTGCTTCTGGGAAATCATTACTGAATTTTAAAAGGACACAGATTTCCGACAAAGAAATGCTGCCCTGAGTTACCTTTAAAGTACAATTCCCTGCTTTTAAACATGAGTTGTCGTAGATACTTTATGAAGCGTAAAAATACTACATTTCTCTCCTAAAAAAATATCCAAATAATTTCTCATATAGGCTGGCGAAATGACGTTGAAATTCTGCTTTCGCGAAATGAACGGCAAGATGACTCCAAACTGTGGATATTTTGGAGCTAAAAGGATATCAGAAATATTTATTAACCGCTGTGTAAGGAAAGATACTTTTGAAAAAATTGTTTTAAAAGTTGAAATGACAGCACGTATTGCAAAATCTTAATATTGCATAACTTTTTATGTTAGCCCCACTACTAGAACAACGATAAACACATTGCATAAAAGAGCGAAAAAACTAGTGCCGTACCAGAGAAAGTAGGCATGAACGTGATTTTTCTCTCTTTCTAGGTAAGATGAAATTCACTAAGTTATGAAAGGAAGCTAAAAAGTGACATTATACTATGTAAATTGGAGACATTTCTTATATCCATAAATGTGATCATCATTGTGTCCTGTTTTTCACTACTAAGCCAGCGTTGGTTGATCCACAACGTCAGTAAACCTAACTTTTGGCACTATGAAAGTTTCCTTCATTTATTTGTTTGCTTTATTCATTTATTGTTTAAAGACGCCAAAGCCAGTGGTGTTCTGTGACTTTTATCGAAGGGGACTAAACCCCTCTATGAGAACAGCTCACGTACAACGTTCGTGGTCATATGAAAGAAATGAAATTCATTGCTAGTGTTTATTTTTGTTCGGAGAGATACTGATCACATTTACATGAGGTCATCTAAGGGGGTGGCCGTCATGACAGGATTTATTGTATATTGAATACTATGACTAATGAGTACAATGCTGAATAAAATGCTTTGAGGAATTTATGAAATTGGCTAAAGAGGAGAAGTCAAAATGATGTTACCGTAATAAGTAAATAACTTCTTTCATCTGATGGAGGTCATAACATCAAAACAGATTACTTCTTATTTTGCATGCCATTAATCTTTTTCAAATTATACAGTATTCCACTTCATGTTTCATGCTTGTACAAATGAGAACATGTAGAGTACTCTAAATTTTGTCTTTTTTGTGTGGTGTGTGTGTCATTTGAAATTATATTTCCTCGAAAACATGGCAAGCAAGCGGTAAAGACCATAGAGTTGTGACACGGGCAGCTTATGAGAGCGTTGTCATAAAACGGCGTATCAACATGAGCTTCGTAATGATTTCTTGAGTGAGGACTAATTTTTCGTTAAACTTTACTCAACGTAGTTTTAACTTGTGATTATTATATCAATATATTTTAATTAGAATTTTTTCACACACTCTAACAATGTTTTCATGAAGACAAGCTAAAATATAGCACTAAAAGTTAAATTAATTTCGTTTCTAAAAATCAAGAGAAAATTAAAATTTCTTGCTACTTACCGCCAGTAGTTAAATAGCACATCTAAGGTAGGTAGGAGAACATGTGAAGGCTAGCTAATACTAAAGGGTGTCTCAAAAAGAACGCCGTATTTGAATCTACTATAAATCGAATTTATTTATTTGAAAGAAGCAAGCAAAATACTCCATTCTCTTCAGGAGATATTGAGATTATACGTGAAACACAATATCGTGCATATGACCGCCTACCTGCTAGCCCTACAAGCAATCGTTCTGTCCATGAAATTAACCATCATTCGCTCAGACATTTACCCATCAACTTCGTTGAGAACCCGTTGAATTTCTTGTTTGAGTTCTAAGAGATTACGGGATTTGTTTTAGTAAACTCGTGACTTATTGTACCCCATAGAAAAAAGTTACAAGGTGTCAGGTCACAAGATCGACATGGATAGGTTTGGTCTCCTCGTAACGAGATTAGTCTGTCTGGGAACGTCTCACGCAGCAGAGCGATTGTGTCTCTTGAAGTGTGGCAAGTTGCACCGTCTTGTTGGAACCACAAATTTTCGATGTGTATTTGATCCAACCGGGGCTAAAGGAAATTAGTGAGCATCGCATGATAACGAACTCCATTCACCGTGACAGCCCTTTCTTGGTCATCATAAAAAAAATAAGGGCCGATTAAACCCCCACTTCAAATTGGACACCAAACCGTGGCACGCTGAGAATGCATGTCTTTTTCGTGAACTAGTCTTGGATTCTCTGATCCCCATATGCAACATTTGCCTCACTCCGGCCACTTCGAGAGCGTCCCGGGCGTCTTGAACCAGTTTTTTTTTTTTTTTTTTTTCCAAATTTCTTGATCAACCTACGAACAGTGGTTTCATTTGGTGCATTGTTGTGTCCCATAATCGCACGGAGTTTTCGGAACTTTTTCTGCCAAACTTTCACCATTTTTATAGTGAGTTTTCATAATCAACACTCGCTGTTTTGTACTGTATCTTTCCATGACTATACACCACAAACATTAACCTGGAAAACAAAAGCACAGTATCAAAACATAACCTCAATGATAACAAAACACGGAAAAATAATGTTGCCAACAACAACAACTAAAAATAACAGACTTTTCAAATCTCGCGTTCTTTTTGACACGCCCTTTACTTCCCCGCATGGAATCGGCAACATCCAAGCTGTTCCCATTCCTGAGAAATTCCGATTAAATTTGAATGGCGTGCGGCTTCAAAAAATTCAAATAACGTTCCTTTTAATACTTTTGAATATTAGGTAAAAATATACTTGTAAAGGTCAATACATAGAATATTTAGGGGTCTAGCTCAGTCCTTCTAGTCCACTGACGGCACGCAGCTGAGCAAAGTATACTAGAGCTATTAGCTAATGGGAAGGCATGGCTTCAAGGACGACTTTCTCAGGAAAACCTGTTTGTGGTTATGTGACACATCAGTAAAATCCCGAAATCATCCATGCAACCATTTAACTCAACTATTTCGCGCATCAAACCGGTCACCGAGATATAAGCCCAGGTCTTTAAGTACCACCTTTCGGAGATCTAAGCCATCCTACAACTAATAGACCAATATTTCGAAACCCTTTTTATCGAAAGCCTTTTTAAAGCGAATATTTTTCGAAACCCTTTTTAAAGAAATTGAACTAAAAATATTTCTTCTTAATTAAAATGGTGCATAAAACTGACATGTTGCATTGTAGCTAGCATATAAGCATAGGATTTACGTAGGCGAGTAATTTAAATCACAGTGCGAATATCCGCAATTAGTTTCACAAATTTTATGGAATTCTCAGAAATTTCTCGAATATTAAATAAATGCGAGAATTCAGAATTTGTAAGTGTTGGATTTTCATATTTAAATATTTTTTTCCTTAATATTTGCCAAAGGGCTTCTTCTAAATTTAAAAATCGTGTTACAGGACTATTGATACTATATGAAAAAAAAATGCGTGCATATACAATACAGTATCTCAAAATATTGTATATTTAAATGAAAATATGTGTCTTATACAACATTACTTGCTTCATATTTTAGTGCTAGCATTATCTGAATATGACTAGTTTAAAAATCTAAACATTAGTTTGAATACATGTGCCCCACCGTATAAATTTACATAATTTGAAAACATGTGCCCCACCGTATAAATTTACATTATTAGAATACATGCCGCCCACCGTAAAATATAGAGCCCCACCGTATAAATTTAACGAGCAAGGCAAATGTCCTCGATTAACTTACTATAGACCCATGTAGTTTGTCTTTTCTTCCTGTGATAAAATAAAAACAGTGTATTAATGGTATGACATGTTAGACTCGTGACGAGATGGAGTTTATTCTTCGAAATGTTGACTATTTGTTTTATTATTAGTTCATGTTAAAGCCATATAAATACAATGAAACTGTGGTAATGAATTTTACCCATTAATATATCCTCTCAATGAGATATATGCCTTTATAAAAAATATGAGCTTGTCAAAATTATATTACACGTGTAAAATTTTTGCTTTTTACTGGTAAAGAAATCGTTTTCTTTACTGAGAGACGAATGACAATTATTTTGAACACAGCCTCAGCCAGTTGGGTGGCTTTAGGCAATAATACACGCAAGATTTTATTTGGGTGTTGTCACCCTGATTTATTAACAACCGGTTTTGAAAAGACAGCAAGGCCATCTTTTTTAAAAGCCTAGCTTACATAAATGTCATTTTAAATTACTTTAATAATAACAAATCAATTATCTTAACTGGGCATTCAAGATTCAACAGCTCGTGAATGAATTACCTACCCTTCCATTTAAAATCAGAATTGAAATATTATTAATATGACCTTTAATTGCTTCCAAATTATTGGCTGGGTTCTGATGTCTATTACTACTACAGTGTATAATGGGTGTTAATTTATAGTTTTTCAGCTTCGTTTAGCTCATTTGCATTCAGATTCAAAACTTAAACATCAATGTTTATGGTATTTAGTTCATCACTTTTTGAATTTTTTTAAGGAAAATAGATGTTTCATTTCCTTTTATTATTCATATGAAGGCAAAATAGGCAAATAATACTCACATCACGGAAGACGATAGCGAGCAGCTTGTGTGGAATAAAACATCATATGTATTATACATAACTTCATATTTTGAGACGTAAATGTTCAAAAGATTGGGAACAATTGTGATGCCTAGGGCATTGCGATGCCTAGGCAAAACTTTCTCTCTTTTATTTTTCACACTAGACGGAATTTTTCAGGTGTTGTTGTTTTCATTTCTTTCAAATCACGTTCAGAATAAAATAATTGTGTCTCCAGCCGAAAGCGAAAGGGGGGGAACATACTAATCTCATAAAATGCATGAGCCAGTTAAAAACAATCAAAAAGAAAAAGAAAGTCTGTAGTTTCAATAATACATTGATATTTTTCAATTTATACAGTTTTGCATTCCTTTCCCTCCCCCTCCCTAGGAAAAAAAAGGAAAAGCAAATACCGAAACAAACAGTCCAGATTTTTAAATTGAAATGCTTTTTTTAATACGTCAATGACATTTTCAAAATGATGCTACAAAGTTGATGAAAATAGATCAGTGTACTGCTATTGCCATTAACTTTCAGTCAAATTATAACAGGAAATTAGAATTCTTATTACTGCTAAAATAATATCATTTTCAGTAGAAATTCTATTAGTAGTCTAGATTTCATTTTAACATTATCAACCACTTTAGGTAAACAATACAGCGCAAACTGATATTTAACTAGGAATTAACCGGAATCTATTTCAAGATTTTTTCCCTCAAACGCCAAACGTTAGCATTTGTCGAAAATGTCCGATTCCATCGTCATTTAGCTGTCTCATGATCAAAAACTTTGCTCAAAATGAGCCACAGAAGACTTTTCAAGAGCTTTAGATATATTTCAAGAAAAGATCGTGTTGGATACTTTTGAGGCAGGGAATCTTCTCACAACAGACTATTCTGATCCGACAGTAAATGTGAATGTTGCTACCGATAACTATTTACAAATAATGTTGCATACAGAGTTATATACATAATTTTTTCCCATGCTGTGAAATTTTATTCCATCACTTATAAACAACGTCGTCAATGTGTTTGGCTTTTGAAAGAGTAATGAAAAGTGGTCATTACTGCAATTTATATTTTTAATTTTGATTGCTATCTAAGCTTTTAGAATATTCACGCACAACAATGCAGTTACAAATTTAAATATTCAGTAATTTATAACTAACTCCTAATAACTATTTTCACTTTAAATTAAGAGTAACAGACTATGCAACATATTTACGAAGTGCGAACATATTATGTTTGCATTCAGCACTAGGGATGCTAATAGTGGTGGAGTGGATATGATAGCTGAACATTAGTAGTTCAACCCAGGTTCGGATTTCGGCAAACTGACTAGTTGTAGTTACATGAGGTTTCTGGTGATTTTATCTGCATGCTTAACAAGAATACGAGCTAGTTTTTCTTTCACAGTCTTCCAATAAACTTTCTTCCTTTAAGGAAGACAACCTTACTTGCTTTGCCGTAATTGATTAAATAAACAAACTAACAACTTTTGGTATAACAATATAGTATTAGTAGCATGTTTAAAAAGAGAGCTATTCGTATTTTCAAACTATTTTTATTTCTAAATAAACTGCTGACTTTTGGTGCTTGGAATTTTATGAAATTTTCATTTAACTTTCTGGCAGTTGCCAATATTTCTAATTAAGAGTGGCTTGTAATGTTCGATGAAATTATACTTTGTTGTCAGCAGATTTAAAATTATGAAAATTAATTGTTTAGTTTATAATTTTTGGTAATCAGATATTAAGGGTACAAAGAAATTTTGGAAATACTTTATCAAATATTTTCTAAAGCCTACAACCTTTTTAATTCATAAAAAAAGGTAGATTCTTTTCTTTGTTGTTTTGATACCAGTTCTCACAGTATACTATGTATGACAAGCTGTAAATACTATCAACGGGAATTTCAGCTTGATTTTCCTAAAATAAATGCTTTCATCTTTTCAATTTTAATTCTACTCTCCGTAATTTAATATTTTTCCATTGGTTAATTCAGTATTTTATTTTTTCTCTTTTTGAAATAAAAGTGCACATTTTGTTTTATAAGCTACTTCATTTTTCACCCAAATACAAAAGCGCCTTAAGTATTTTTCCGTAAATGCAATGCAAGCAGGTTTACTCAGTTAAAGAAGAAAGATTTCTCAATTATTTTCTCTAATGGATAAGACATTTAAGACAATAGCATACGAATAAAAGCAGATTATATTATTTTTAAATGACTGAAAAATCAGTTTTTTTCACCTTTGACAAAATACGTCTGAAATTCCTGACTAGGATAGCTATTTTATCTGAGATATAAAAATTTAAAAAAAAAGAAGAAAAGAAAACAGAAAGGCTAAAAAAGTGTCTGCGGGTGACACAATATTGTGTATATCATGGTTTAATCCTAGTGAATGATTAGAACAACAGAAAAAAGGGATCAAAGAAGGTATTTTGCAGGTTGAATGGCGTGAAACGATTAAACACCAAACAAAGAACCGAGAGTTAAAACCCCAGATAAAAAAAAGAAAAATATTTTTTTCTTAATTCCCCTTCTTTCTTATTCTTTATCCTGTCGCTTTTTTACTTTTTTCAAATATAAACGTAAACGCTACGTAAATGAGAAAGGTAAACCGGTTTAGAGGAAAGTGTCTGCATTAGATCTAAAGAATCTATTATTAACACGCAGTATTTATCTTCATAAATAAGTCTATGCCTATCAAAAAGTTTAATTATTGATATAAAGCATGCAACACATGGGAAAGCTATGTGATGCGATCGCAGCTTATTATGGAATACTTTCTTAAGAAATCTGGACAGTCTTTTCATTATCGATTCCTTTTTTAGCCTGGAGAAGAGCTTGAAGAGAAAATATCGGCTCTTGTTATATTCTATTCTCTCATCCGTTTTATAATATTCAAGTTTAATTTGTCATTCACTCTTATTAATCTGTTA